CGACTTGTGTCATTAAATCGAGAGCACCTATTGTCAATCGTATCATCGTACTTTTTACGGTGCCGTTTTCATGAAAGGAATGCGGAGTTCCAGTTATACGTACGCGTAGAAAACGCTAGCGACACTCGACATGCCGATAGTAGCGACACCAGCGACGCAGGTTTGCTCTTTTTCATGTTCACGTTGAATTCGCGTGTACGTTACCGCGACAAGTAAATTACGAATCGCAGGTAATCTTTCGTGATAAAATCCATCAACTTCATATTAATGCGGTGAACGGTGCGTTAAATCCATTTGTGTATCTCGATGATGGTATTTAACGCTCGGCACGAAACATTCGTGAGATATTTGCGATGCGAAATGAACCGGTGCAATCATTCCATCGTTTCTTTTACCAGCTGTTTTCCGCTTAAATCGCAAAAAGTATATCAAGCAAAGATATGAGCGTTACGATATAATTGAAGAATCTTATAAAATTTACTTTTGTGTGTATAGTGCAACAATTAGTTTTCATCTGTTTACTGTGCTTTGTATGAAGGTTAGGTTAGGTTATCTCTCTCGTGGTATCCGTAGTGTTTCTATAATAATGGAAAAATTATTATAGAAACCCTAGACATTCATGGATAAAATTACAATATTTAAATTTGTATAGCTTGTAATTGTACATTTATTTTTTAATAACCGTGTAATATGTTTATTATATAGCTAGTTGCATTCCAGTATACTTGTTGAAACTTGTTTAAGCTTTCTGTAGGAATTCGTACTTTCCAGCAAAAAACACAATAGGTCTGTTCTATTCAACTGAACTTTGTGCATAGTTTATCTTTTTTTTTAACGTTGGAAAAAAAAGAAAAAGTAGACTATGTAAGAAGTTCAGCTAAAAGAGAGAGAACAAGTCTAGTATAATACATTATTTCATTTTTCTTTAACATTGGTAAATAGTCAGAATGTAATTTACTATGTTACACTGTATTCTTGTTGGAAAGCATTTAATTTCAAAGAGTATACCAATGAATAAAATATGATTGCATATGTAAATAATATATAAGTTGTTTAATTAATACTTGCGACGTTTGGCTTTCAGTCATGGTGCGTATGAACGTTCTTAGCGACGCCTTAAAGGCAATCAACAATGCCGAAAAACGTGGAAAGCGACAGGTGTTGCTGCGACCCTGTTCCAAGGTGATTGTCAAATTCTTGACTGTCATGATGAAGCATGGTAAGTAATATGTTATTTACATATGTACTTATGTATAAATATAAATATATATATATATTTATAAATACACATATATATTTTTTATGCAGGATATATTGGAGAGTTTGAAATTGTGGATGATCATCGCAGTGGAAAAGTAGTAGTGAATCTTACCGGAAGGTTAAATAAATGTGGTGTCATTTCACCTAGATTTGACGTACCTATCAATGACATTGAGAAATGGACCAACAATCTCTTACCTTCTCGACAGTTTGGGTAAGCCTTTATTTATTTGTAATATATGAGAAATTATCTCTTATGTTTGCTACATAAAATATAAAGTTTTGTTCCTGTTTATTTTTATTACTACTATTTATTTTATTATTTAGTTTATTTTATTACTAAAAAAATTTAAATTTATATAATATACAGTATATTATACTAGCAAGAATAAAATTAAAAGTAAAATAAGAAAGAGAGAGAGAGAGAGTATACATTTGAAAGATTACTCAGTTAAAGTGAAAAATATACTCAAAGTTATTATTATTATCGAGCATTTACATGTAGCATTCAGTGTAATGTAATATTTTTATATATGAATTGTGTTAATTAAACTTTAAAGGAAATAATTATATAATATACATTTATTATTTCTATTTATGTCTCAGATATGTTGTATTGACAACTAGCGGAGGAATTATGGATCACGAGGAGGCGAGGAGAAAACATCTTGGAGGAAAAATATTGGGATTTTTCTTCTAATTTTTTAGTTAAGTAAATAAAGATGTAAACACAAAAAATGTACGTCTAAGTAATCTTTCGATGAAAATCGAATACTTCAATCCACGAAAATTTTTATTCCATTATAAGTTTTATTTATATGCTTTTGAGATGTATTTTTTATAAGCATCGTTTTTTTTGGCTCAAGATTTCTTCACTCCATTGGTTGATTCCAGTAATGTAAGCAGATTCCAGTAATTTGCTTGTTTCGCCTGTCTTATTATATCTCTAAAGAATCATTGTGCCAATATGAATTATAAATGAGAATACATTGATGGATCTATTTACCGGGAGCAGAAAGGAGGAGGAGAATCAACGAGGCCGTCGCGAGTCAAAATACGTCTATGTAGGAGTTGGATCAGATATTCATAAGGATCATGGGGTCGACGTAGCAGAAGCTCGCCGAGCAGAGAATCGATGATGTCGTGAATCCCTTTTCGTTTTAAATACGACACCGCATCTTGCATGTTTCGTGACACATGTTGAACAGTATCATTTTTGGGACACACATCGGACACACACGTTCCTCCAATTTCTCGTTGCTTCGAAGGCGAGTTTAAATAATAATTCTCCATCCTTCATTCGTCATGGATTCGGAATTCAAATAATTCGTGATAGCGAAGTTTTTACGATCGTCCAATTTCTATCAATTCTTTTTCTCTCTTCCTCCCTTCCCTTCCTAGTTATTTTAGGTAAAAATGCAAAGTTCCTGACTCATGGCTGCCAATCTGCGAAGTAATAGAATAAATTTCTCTATTATATTGAACTTAAAGTTGCCAATATCGAAAAGTAAATTGTTTAGATAGTAACCGGTATTTTCCAAGCACTGGTTGAAATACTTTGGAATAGAAGAAATCTACTGTATCGGTACTTTCGTATCTCTCTCACCGTTGTTCAAGGTTCTAGGACTGTAACCGTGACAAGTAGTGGGTCATTTATCTCTGATTTCTTTTAATATTCTGATGCATCATCAGTCTACGTCGATCTTCAGTGGTAATTAGTATTGTTTCTGCGCAACTGAGAGAAAGATTCGGCGAATCTATAAGCCATGGCATTGTTAAGAATCGGCAGTGTGGAAATGTTGAATATTAATATTTTGACTCGTGTCTCGCGCGCAGGTACAAGTTACTTTTCATAAATTGTATTATTATTTCGCTTTCGTTTTATATGTAGATATGCATGCAATATATATTGCGAAGATTCAAAGTGTGCCGTCGTTTCTGTTTTTGCAATTTGAAAGATGGAGTCGAAAATACTAAGAAATGACAAAGTTTCATATATAGTCTGCTACACATGTAGTCATTCTAATTTTCTAATTTATCATGATTGTATCAGACAGTGCTTTTTATGATTTATTTATATTTTTAGAAATTATTAAAAATGTTAATAATAAATCGAATATGTAAATAATTCGTAATAATCTTTCTACGATACTTAATCCATAATTTGAGATATTTGACTACATAAAAATCGTAGCATTTAGATATAAATTTAAAATATGAAAGATGTGTTTTACGCATTTTTACGGCCTGCACTCAAAACATTTAACAGATTGAAGGACTCTTGCTATACAAAATAAATAACAATAGATAAAGGGCAAAGTAAGAGTCAAACACATTTTTTTTAAAAAAGTCACACAATTAAAAGAATAAATTACAAATAGAGAAAAGTAAAATTGAAAAAATATATAATAAAATAAAAACTCAGTTTAAATACAAAATACATTATTAAAAATATTTTGTAGAGCATCTGCAATATTAGAGTATATAATTTAAATTACATATTTTCTTTCTAAAAAATCATAAAATCGACATTAACGTTAAATCGACATTTATGTTAATGAAAGATACTGGTGTTTTTCATCAACAGTATTCAAATCATGTCTACATCTTAGTCTTTTATCACTGAGATGTACATTTATAAGAAATTTATAATTCTTTTAAACTTTACATACAGTTTTTTAAACAGTTTTTAAAAAATTTTGTTCAATGTTTATTGTAATATATTACCTTATCTTTATACTACTTTACGTCACGATCATGACAGTCACTTTACATGATAATCTTTATATTAACATAGATATAATTTTAGCATAAAAACTTTATTGTATACATTTGCTTACTTTAATTTTATTATACCTTGTGAATTTTCGTATTTAATTAATGTATTTTTTAATTTCTATCTTATACGTGACATAATATATAAAATGTAATTATAATAGAACATGTTTTTTATTTTGATTTCTTTTTTTTTAAATATTAATAATCTTGAATGTCTGAATGTAATTTAAATAAAAAAATATAACTATATGCATAAATATTTACTTATTAACTTCTAGCCTTCTGACCTTGAAAGTTTCGGCATAAACTAACTGTACTGTCTTTGTGAAGACATAGTTCTTTTGTTGTATTTTCTATTTATTTTCAAACCTCTTTTCTGTCTTTCTTCTTAGACCCAGTTTCACACACACACACAACTCATGGTTAACTCTTAACCGAGATTCAACTTATTTCTCATTTTTTTCCAATTCTAGAATTGAAAAGAGATAATGAATAAGTTGAACCTCTGTTAATAATTAACTGTCAGTTGTAAAACTTACTTAATCTTATTTAACATTTTATTCTTTCTTTTTATGCTTGTTCTTCATAAAAAAAATAAATCTCTATATAACAAACTTAATATAAGATAATAAATATATGTGTAATATGTTATAATATCATAACATTAAGTTTTAATTGTAGCATTCTTGGAGATGCAGTGTGCGACTTCGGCGGCAGTTCATCGGAAACGGCAGCCGTTGCATTCGACCAGCGCACGTTATTATCCAGATCCACCAACTCTCACTCTGCCGAATAACGTTTGTGATATCTTTGCTAACGAGACCGGTCGCTTCACGCCGGAACGCGCGCGTGACATTGCGTTATATACCGAGAACGGTGGTATCTCTGTCTCCACAACAAATTGCTCTGGATTTCCCAAGATTCGCGACGACAGCCATGTGGATTCATACGATTGTTTCGGCGCAGTCAGTCTGAATGGCACAATGCAGAGCAACGTGCCAAAACCGTTCTCCTCGTGTGGCAAATCCATGCACCTTAACATGCCTGGTGGACAGTGGTCCCGCGACGGCAAATACATCGCCGAGGACATGCAACGCTCTCATTACCGCAAATTGTCGTGTAAGAACGACCTTTGACTGGATTCTGGAGGTGCTTTCCTCATCTTCGCTTCCTTACGATTTGCATCTTTATAATCCTCGCTGTTCTCTGAATCCTAGAAAATAATGCGATACTTTGATCCCGAGACTCTAAATGTTGGAGGATCAAAGGACGTTTAATCAATTACGAATATATAAATTATCTGAATATCAATATAGAATTATTTATACCAAATTGAATTAAGTAAGATCTTTCGCTGGTGTTATCTAGCTCTGAGAATCTGATAATTTGTGTAATTCGCTAGGATTCAAAGCTAAGCATTCCAAAAATTCATAATATTTCAACAACAATCTAATGTTACAAAAGTTTATAAAAGGATTTTATCTTCTTCCTGTGTTAATGTTTCATCAATATTATACCAATATTAGTACATATTAAAAGCTCTGTTGAAGATTTTTATACACTTGAGAATTTGCAGATTCTTAAGTTGGATGTTCGAGGTAAATAAGAACTGTGCAAGCTTTTGTGACCATCCAGCTTCAGAAATTCACATTAGGTAATTATATGTCGCTTAGGTACTGCAACTAATGCCTTCATAACGAGCCCGCTTTTACGAGCGACATATTGGCCAATTTATACTACCAGAATAAGCTACTCAACCAAAACCTCCAAAGACTCCCAGAAGGATCAGGCCACGGTGCCGGTCGCAATGATGTCAAAGCGGGAAAAATTTCGCCTAATGTTGAGGGATTATGGAAGCACTCTGCTTGTCTTTCATATCACTATATCGCTGATAAGTCTCGGTGGTTGTTATATGGTGGTCATTAGGTCAGTGCGATTCCTGTAATAGGTTTAAAAATCGCATCCTCTCTTTTCTAACTGAAATATTTAACATTGAAAATGTAATATACATAACCGAAAGTAATTCATGTATGATCAAAGATTTTAATCTAAACCGAAAATTTCATATATCAAGTAAAGAAATACTTGGTCAAATATTACTTTTTATCACTTATTTTAAAGAAATATTTGATCAAATGTCATTTATTTTTAACAAAAGATTGGTTAAAATTTTTCAAATGTACGACTTCTGGAACATTTCTAGCTTTCCCGGTTTGGTTTTTAAACAGGTTTATATTAATTTTTGTATATAACTAATTTTTACACACAACATGTCTTTCAAAATAAAATTCTTGAAAGAGAAAATGAGAGCATAACTGTATCATTTTATTTTTCGAGATTTATTTTGAGAAAATTTATTATAATTTTTTCCGATAATTCGAATTCTTGTTTTCAGTGGAATCGATGTAACACCATTTGTACAACAGTGGACAGGAGGAAACGAACAGGTAGAAAACCTGCTGAAAGTTTCGACGGACTTCATAATAGCGTACACAGTTCACAAATTGCTCGCACCTGTTCGAATAGGAATATCCTTGTCCGTGACTCCAGTGCTTGTCAAATATCTAAGGAAAATAGGCTTGCTTAAAATGCCGAAAAAAAAATCACCCATATCAACAACTTCTATCAAATCACCACCAACAACTTCGTAAAATATTGTTTCTTTTATTAAAAAGATTTCGTTGTTAAATGTCGTATTTCGATGAGAAACAAATAATAAAATACTTTTAAATACTGACACTGTGAAAAGAAATTATTAAGAATAGTCGCAAAAAGTAAGATATTTGCTATATTTATAAGATTGATATTTGTGTATCTTGTATATAAATTAAAATAAATGGATAGTTTTGATAATAGAAAAACTTTGCTACTAAATAAAATCGACGTGTATGTATAAGCAAAACTATTTTATCTTCTTCTGTATAATTAAATTAAAAGTTTACAGTTTTAATGTAATTCTAATCTATATAAAAGGTGTAGGCATTTATATTTGTTATCAGTTTTATAAATAAATCTGTAAATAAACGTGCTTGTTATTTAGACAAAACGAATTGACATCACATATGCACCTCTCGTTTATTATATAAAGAATATAGTGATCATAAAATTTACATAGTTTTGTATCTCGCATACGACGGAATCGTAAGTTTCGCGTATGCCATAATACATAATAATCACGCATATCGCATTCGCAGCACAGAATCTTCGTACACAAAAGCTCGGTAATTTCAATTGGACGAATTCGCGGTTTGTCGCGAGTTAAAGCCGATGGCAGAAGACAAGACATACAATGTTTACGTCTTAAATGTGGACGTAGGGTAAGGAAAAACACATAACTTGTTCACACATAAAAAAATCATAAAGGACTATTGTATAGATGTGGAAACTTATACACAATAGTCTTTCACAATTTAAGTTATACTTTTTCTCTACCTTACCCTACATACACGTCTAAGACGTAAACGTCTTTATCATCAACCTAAATTTCATCATACATAAGACGTCAATGTATATATATTTATATACATAATTCTTTAAAAAAATATAATACATAGAGAGAGTAGAATTAAAAAATGTTATAATTATGTACAATGAGTGTGTGAACTTAAAG